TATATATATGATATATAGAGCTGACATATATCATTGTGTGATATCGTATACTGACTCCATAGACTCAGTATTCAATGATAATCATTCATTCATACTGTTGAATAAGATTTCAGATTTAAAAATAAATGTTTATAAAAATTGAAAATTTTTTAATTATATTTTCTTCTTCTTCTTCTTTTTCTTCTTTTTATTTTTCTTCTCATTCTCGTCATTATCTAAAACATTCAGAACAGACAGTTTGAGCAGATGAAAACATAAAATAGTTAAAATTTTTGTATAAGTTTGTAAAACAGTAGAACAGTGAGTGTTGCAGAGCATATTGACAGATTTGATGATAAAGGTGTGTATTTGATGATAAAAGTGTGTATTTGAATGAATTGAATGATATTTGAATGATTCTAGAGATATGTGGATATTTTGATTATTTTTGCAGTGTTTTGCTACTATTTTTCAGGGGGTGGCAGAAAATTCTGTTTTCGCAAGCTTTACGTCCGCCACAATAGCTAACTAACCGACCAACCCATGGAGTTGATTCGCTCATCGCCGCGGGATGGTACACGACTTGCCGGATAAGAACTTGTGCATATTTGCATTTGTCGGCGACACCAGTTTAACTGCTTCTAACTTCTTTAATGCGCTGATTGTCTGGGGAGAAAGCGGGCAAACTGAATGGACGCTCCACCCGAAATGGCTTTGTAACCGCAAATACCATATCGACAAGAGCACTATCTGATTCGAACATGTTCCTTGTTATGTACAGCACAAGGACAAGGATGCTGTGGATATTTACCCCCGACGTCCATGGGTGACACCGCATCGAGGGCCAGATGATCAGGTATAAAGGAGCGGAGGGGGACAATCGAGGACAAGAGAGGGCAAAAGAGGAATGAGAGGTAGACGACAATTCCAACCCAACTCCATTCACCTATGCATATATACATGCAAGGCACCCAGACGTCGTCACTCTTTTACTGCCTGTAGCCATGGCACAATCAATCTGCAAGACTACGAAGCAATGGAGCCTCGCCCACCAGAATGGCTTCGACGCGCTCAAATTCACTGAGGAACCGGTGCGTGAGCTCGAGGATCACCAGGTTTTGGTAAAACGTAAGTTGATCAAGTACTCCCTTAGGAATGAAGATGAATGCGGGGAGGGAGGCGTACTGGAGGCTTGGGCGGCACGCATGCAAAATATTATAATCCGCTAACATGTATATAACTCAATCCATCCAAAATAGTCCAAGGAGCTGCGTTAAACGTATGCCACCTATCCCATCCGCTCCCAAGACTTCTCCCCGCCTTCTTAACCATCACAATCAGGCCCGCGACCTCATCATTTTACACGGCGTCTACCCCATCCCCATTCAACCCAACGTAGTCCCCGGCTCCGATGGCGCCGGCATCGTCCTTGCCGTTGGCAAAAACGTTACCCGCTTCAAGCCAGGCGACAAAATCACGACCACCATCAACCAACAGCACATCGCAGGGCCGATGACAGTACAAGCATCACGATCCGGCCTTGGCTGCATCTACCACGGCACTCTACGCACCGTGGGCGCGTTCGACGAGCGAGGGCTGGTCCCCATGCCCGCAGGCCTAAGCTTCACCGAAGCCGCAACACTCGGCTGCGCCGGGCTGACGGCATGGAATGCCCTGTTCGGATTGCCTGGGAAACAGATCATGCCGGGCCAGTGGGTGCTGACGCAGGGCACTGGCGGGGTGAGTTTGTTTGCGCTCCAGTTCGCGAAGGCCGTGGGTGCCACGGTGATTGCGACGACGGGGTCGGCGGAGAAGACGCGCTTACTGGAGAAGTTGGGCGTGGATCACATTATCAACTACCAGGAGACGCCCGGTTGGGGCGCTGCGGCGAAGGCGCTGACGCCTGGTGGACTGGGGGTTGATATTGTTGTCGACGTTGTGGGCGCGGCGACATTGAAGCAGAGCGTCGCGAGCGTGAAGCTTGATGGGATTATTAATCTGATTGGGTTTATGGCCCCGCAGAAGCATGAGGAAGTAGAGCCGATGCCTGGATTGATTGATGCTTTAATGGGTGGGTTTACGGCGCGGGGAGTGTGGACTGGCAGCCTGATGCAGATGGAGGAGATGTGTAAGGCGATCGAGGCCAATGTCGATAAGCTACGTCCTGTGTTGGATTCGAAGGTTTTTACTCTTGAGCAGACTCGGGAGGCATATGAGTATCTGGCGTCTCGGAGGCACTTTGGGAAGGTGGTCATTAATATCTCCTAGAGCATGGCTCATACCATGATGATTGTATTGGTTTTGGGGTGCCACTGTCGGAACGAATTAAATCTGTCCATCTTTCAATCATGAAATTAAAAGACATGATACACACTTCTGACAGGCCCATTCTCCGGTTTGGAGGGATTAAATAGTTCGTTTTAAGAAGTATCTCACATGCCCAAGCGGTGTTATAGGCTTTACTTTCTTTATCTTAAACATGCGCACGTAGGCAATTTATAGCAACAATTTTAATGCGGGACTTTCCTTTTGAATTCCAAGGCGATAGATTCAGAGTATATTGATATATTGGTATATCAAAATTCGGTTTAAATTGATACAAGGTGAGATGCCTATTCATTCGTCCAACACCCAAGAGTATAATCACACGCCTAAATAAAACCCGACGAATAGAAATTAATAAAGAAGAAAACAATTCCCTTCACTCTAGCTATCGTACAAGAGCCGCCAAGTCAGGTCCGGCAAAAAATTTCTTCTGCTCCAGACACCTTTCACTGGTACAGCCCTGGCACCGTAGCGTCATCTGGCGGGAGCAAGTTTGTCCACTGCGCAGATGTGCAGCAGCAATGTCCGCAAGCCCCTGGATGAAAACCATGCTCCCATTCAGGCTCTCAACTCGTTTGACGCCGGGGCTGTTGGCCTCATGAATGACTTCCTGATCTAGTTCGAAAAGGGTTTCGATATGGTCGCTGGTAAAGGCGATAGGGACTAGGAGAAGGTCTGTATGTCCTTTCTCCACGTAGTTTCGAACTGTATCGCTGGTTTGGGCCCCTAGCCAGGCTGAAGGGCCGACTTGGGATTGCCAGCAGAGGCGATAGGGGTTCGAGAAGTTGAGTCGTCGCATGACTGCATGGACGGTTGCAGCGACTTCTGCTGCGTATGGATCTCCTACATACTTAAGTCAATATACAAGTTGATTGGCATTTCACACAGAAGGCATACCTCGATTGACAACGCTCATAGGTAAGCTATGAGCAGAGAATAGGAGAACGATGTCATTTCTCCTTATTTCAGGGTATGTCGCAAGTTGTTTTTCAATATTCTGAGCGAATGCCTCTATTAAGCCTGAATGCGTAGGCCATCGGTCAATGACACTCCATTGGATTGCTCCCTCTGTCTCGCCTCGCCCAGTCGCGCGCTTGCCCTCCAATCGGTTACGCCACTTCCATAGTTCATTCAATGAGCTGCCCGTTGTGGAGCAAGAATACTGTGGGTATTGTGTAAACGCCACTGCCCGACCTCCTTTGCCTCCACCAAATCCATCTTGGATCATCTGAGTATAGGTAGTTTCTGTCAATGGGGCCGCGTATCGGAAAGCAATGTACGGTTTGTGCGGTGCAGTTTCTGGGGATATCTTGTCGAGGATCTTGCACATTTCCTTGCATTGGTACTCAGACCACTTTCTAATCGGTGAGCCCCCTCCTATAGCAGCATATTGCTTTTGGATTTTGGGTGTCCTACGATGGGAGATGAGGGGTCCTAAGTATGACTGGAGCCGCCCGAGAGGTATTATATCGGGATCTGCCTGAAACACAAACGCGGTCGTCAGCAAAGATACAAAATCAGAATCGAAAAACAACAACAACAACAATAATAATAATACAATGCAAGCGGTTTCTTACAAATAATCTGCTCAAGTAATCGCCAACATCTTGTGTTGTTTGCGGGCCCCCCATGTTCAGGAATACCATGGCTGTCGGGCCTTTTGATCCCATTGAGTCCTGAGTGACAGGCGGAGCGGTTGTTGCCATCCCACGCCATTGCTGTTCACTATAGCTTGAAAGCGATATCGACGTCGTGGTTCTCCAACATGTTCTCCCCAACGCCTGCCGGGGGAGCGTAGTCACGGAAGTTCGTAGTGACATTTCTGGAATTGATCTGTTGTTATGCGGTGACAATCATTCAGCCACACAATAAAAATGGGCGTCGGCCGGGCACCAGGCCAGGTCCTGTAACAGTAAGCACAATAACTTGACCGACGGAATGGCTAGTGGGATTGGATATACGGCGTGAGGGTGTCAGCCAGGAGCATTGAATGGTGACAGTTTGGTGAGACCCATTTTTGCCGCCAAACTCCGTCTGGGGAGGCTGCTTCAGCCAATCACAAGTTGAGGAAAGCTAATGCAAGTCAATTTAGTCACATGATCTGGCGTCTCTTCGCGTTTCTTGGCGGCTATTTCGCGCTGACATCATATCAGGCAGAAGCGAGGTTGAGGAGCTTGATAGCCACCCAGATGTTGGCCGTGTCGATATCACCGCACCAGGCTCTTCTTCCTCCTCCTCCTCCTCCTCCTCCTCTTCTTCTGATTCTAAGCTGTTTTGCGGCTTCAATCGATCATTGCGGCAGCTTTACACTTGTCACTACTGCTCGAACATGGCTGATGAGGCGGCAGCTTGGCAGCAGGATGATGCGTTTGAGGAGGAAGAGGACATTGATGAAACGGTGCGGTATACCATCTATAGTTGATCAATCTCGTTATGTAGGCTCAATTGCTGTATCCCATGCTAACAGTTCGAGCCAGGGCTATAAATCTGTCAAAGACGCTGTCCTTTTCGCCATTGAGATCAGCGAGTCCATGTTGACTCCGCCTCCTGACACTGGCTCCAAGAGAGCTGATAAAGAATCACCTGCCACTGCTGCCCTGAAGTGCGCATATTTCCTGATGCAGCAGCGGATAATTTCAAACCCAAAGGACATGATTGGTATCTTACTATACGGGACTGAAGAATCCAAGTTCTATGACGAAGATGAGAGTGGCCGGGGAAGCCTATCATACCCACACTGCTATCTGTTCTCAGACCTTGACGTGCCAGCAGCAGAGGACGTGAAGAGGCTCAGGGCATTAGTGCATCAAGAGGAAGAGGCAGAACAGATATTAGTCCCGTCAAAAGAACGCGTCTCAATGTCCAATGTGTTGTTTTGTGCAAACCAGATTTTTAGCTCTAAGGCTCCCAATTTCTCCTCCAGACGATTATTCATCGTGACAGATAATGATGACCCTCACTCCAAAGACAAGGCACTGAGGTCCGCAGCAACTGTGCGCGCGAAGGATTTATACGACCTTGGCGTTATTATCGAGCTCTTTCCAATATCCCGACCAAACAAGGAATTCGACCGGTCAAAATTCTTTGATGTATGTCTATACCTGTTTTCTTCTATTCATGTTAGTTCCGTGACTGATATAAATACCAGGATATTATATACAAAGCATCTCCGACAGATCCAGAAGCCCCAGCCTTTCCCACGGCACAAACCAAAACCTCAACTTCCGGTGGTGATGGTATCTCACTCCTAAAGTCATTGCTCTCTTCGATCAACTCCAAATCTGTACCTCGTAGAGCACTATTTTCAAATGTGCCATTGGAAATAGGGCCTGATTTCAAAATCTCCGTTACTGGATACCTAATATTCAAACGACAAGAACCTGCGCGTAGTTGTTACGTATGGCTAGGGGGCGAGGTGCCACAAATAGCCAAAGGTATCACTACCCAGATGGCGGATGATTCTGCTCGAGAAGTGGAAAAGTGGGAGATTAAGAAGGCATATAAATTTGGCGGGGAGCAAATTTCTTTTACTCAAGAAGAGCAGGCTTCACTCCGAAATTTCGGTGAGCCTACAATCCGCATCATCGGATTCAAACCGCTCTCGGCACTTCCAATCTGGGCCTCTATGAAACACCCAACGTTCATATATCCGACCGAGGAAGGATATGTTGGTTCCACGCGCGTCTTCTCGGCCCTCTATCAAACACTTTTGAAAAAGGAGAAACTAGCGCTTGTATGGTTCGTCCCTCGTAAGAACGCTGCTCCCGTTATGGCTGCTATGATTCCCGGTCGTCCAAAGCTGGGCGAAGACGGCGAAGAAGTTATCCCGCAGGGAATGTGGATCTTGCCTCTCCCATTCGCGGACGATATTCGACAAAACCCAGAAACAAACCTTATTACAGCCCCAGATTCATTAGTCGATAAAATGCGGACGGTGATTCAATTACTTCAGTTGCCAAAGGCACAATACGACCCCCAGAAGTATCCGAATCCTTGTACGTTGCTCGCCAGATTGATTGTTCACCCTTATTTTAAGTATGATTTTTACTGTTGCATTTATTGAACTAACAATTTTCATGCAATTAGCTTTACAATGGCATTACCGCATTTTGCAAGCTCTTGCTCTCGACGAGGACCTTCCAGAACAGCCAGAAGACAAAACAGTACCAAAATATCGTCAAATTGATAAGGTTCGTTCCGTTCCATCCACGCCCTCATCCTTCCACATATGATTCTCTCTTGACCTAATCATGAACCCAACTGACTCAATCTTTTGTCTCATAGCGTGCTGGTGAATTCGTAATAGCCTGGGGCGAAGAGTTAGAAAGTCAACATCTGATGATCGAAGCGAAACAACCAGCAACCTCAACCCTCGTCAAGCGCCCAGCAAGCAGGGCGCAAGATCAAGTCAAAGGAGATTCACGCCCTACAAAGAAGACGAAACCAGCCTGATGCGCTGAGTTGTGATGAGTAAACTACACTACGAGAAGGGGTCATTGAATAAGGTTAGTTGTATATTACTTATTTCCATGCCCTAGCAAGTTTTCTCCGGTTGTATTATGCTGCCCTAGAGCTAACCAGTCCTGCTATGAAAATGGTGTAGTTGACGGCGGCTGTTCTTAAAGAGTTCCTCCAATCTCAGCACCTGTCTACAACGGGTAAAAAGGCCGACTTGATAGAGAAAGTGGAGGAATTTTTGGAGCAGAAGTGATATTAAGATTCGGCTTTCATTTACCCGTTTCTACCCAGGGGCATTCCAAAATTTTGCTCTCACCCTGCTCCATCTCCACGAATATCCTTTGCTTCATCCTTCTAAGCATTCAAGATACCTGATTTACATTTCTTTCTTCTGCATTTTAGTTTTATGAGGATTTTGTCCATTGAAAACGATTGGCTGGTGCTATGACGAAAAAAACAACGGAGCTTTGAGAAGTTATGGGAGTTGGATAAGTATTTTATTTCTTTTCCTTTTTGATTTGCCCTGGCGCAAAATACCTTAATTTGGTCCAATATTCGCCAAATATTTAAATTATCCTCAAGACACAAATTTCCTATGAACGATATTTATGTTCGGCCTTTAAACACAGAATTCCATTCACGGATTCAAACACTAAAGCTGAGACTCAGCAGATAGCAGGCTACAATGGTGTGCCCTATGGCTTCCGTCTAACGTTACGCTAATATACAACCACATAGTCCACATCCATTGCGAGTAGTAAATGACAACCCTCCACGCCAGCGCATGAATCAAACTAGACGACGAGTCCCCACAGGCGTCGCGTTATTTCTATATATTTCTCGAGACACATACATTCTGTGCTCGCTTACTACTACTCGATTCAAGCTTCCAACGACAGATGGACCCAACAACCCCTTCAGTCTGCAAAACATGAGATTTAGTTCACCATGACTGGTGATCAACGAGGAGGATTTACCCCTCGACTGGCTCTCTCTGGACCCGCGCATACGGGCCTGCGGGGCCCTTTTGAGAGGATGCTGTGAACGAGCGTCCAGTTATCCCATTGATTTCTGTTTTAAAATTAAACCAGGAGTGGGTGCTCTCAGATCAGCATAGGACCAAGATCGACGAGACCGGATGTGTTGAGACTACTGTACAGTACACACGCAGTGTGGAGCAGAACCACAGCTCAATAACTAGTTGTGTCTCATGAATATAAATATATATTTAAAAAGAATCTGGCAGACAATCTGCTGCGTTTGAGTTTTATTGCTGGAATCCATTCCGGGAACTCAACAATGAATCGATGATACATAACTGAATTAGACCTGAGCGCTCTAATACCCCCATTGGCCCTAACTACGAGACACAACGGAACAGACTTCGCTACACAAAGAAAAAGCGGAAAGAACGAAAGAAAGTGAAAAAAAAAAAAAAAGACAATAAACAATGCGCATACCCATACACACTGCTCTAGCATTCTGCTGGGCCCTCACCACAGCCCCTCGCAGCGATCCCGCCCCACCAAGCCCTCCTACGTCTCGCGGCGACTACTCGAGGCTGCTGGTGGATTTCAAGCAGCCGCCGCCGGATGTGTTCCGGTCGAAGGTGTTTCAGGGCTATGCAGCGTATGGGCCGCATTTGTACGTGCTGACTGGCACGTCGTATGATGCGCGTGGCTGGGTGGTGAATTCTCAGGTCGCGAGCATTCGAGATGAATACGGGGAAGATCGTGCAGGGGCCGTCATTGACGAAGGCTGGGCCGAGCCTGTCGTTTCGGGAGTCGGGAGGGGATGGCGGTTTATAAAACCAAGGCTGGCGAGGTGAGGCTGCTCAACTTCTTGGGCTTGCGACGGGGAAGAGTGGGGGTCCGGAGATCGAGTTTGTTTTTATAAGTATGTCTTGGTTAACTAGAGGATCTCCGTAACTGATTAATTAATTATTCATTAACCCTATATAGACATTTCGTTGAGATTTTTATTTCCTGGATACCCTTCTTGATAAGACG